ACACTGAAAAAAAAAATAACATTTTATTTCGGCTTACGGATGGAAAGCGGAGGCCTAATGATATCTGAGTAATACTCTAAGTCTAGAAAATTTATTCGTTTTCATTTAATTATTGGAACTAAGACCAAGAGAAAAAATTAAAATTATATAAGATAGAGATAAAGAAATTTATATGTAGAAGAAAACATCGGGCCTTACATAAAGTGACTTTATTAGCGTTGTTGATAGTTAGTAGAAAGGGTTTTCCAAAAAAAAGAGTCCTAACATTTTAACCCATCATAATAATATAGGACCAAAACCATTATCTCCTTATTCCAAAACGCGGACTAAAGTTAGTCTTGGTTTGTCTCTGTCTTGTTTTTAGCAAACAAAAGTGACAGCATCAGTTTTAGTCCAGGTTCAACTTAAGTCTTTAAACTTTAGTCTACTTTAGTCAACTCTAACTTTAGTATAATAAGGCGGTTATTATTAATTATGTATCTTAGACCCACTTGCAGCATTTGCTAAGTCAATTCGACATTGTCGTTTTGACATTGAATTGAACTCAAACTTATCAACTCAATCAAATCAAACTCAATCCTACATATCAAATTTAATTTATATCAGTTCAGCGGTTTAAGCTTCAAGAGCTAATAGACAGACAAAGTATCGCATTTTTAATATTAGTATGAAAATGGATAGCAAAAACACGTGGTTGTAGGTAAGTATGCCAAGCCTGAAATTGCGTATACTCAGCAAAACTTAGGTACACCGAAAACGCTTCCCCATTCCGCTCAAAACATCCATCTACGGTGAAACGAAACACGTGAACCACTTCGATGATTTTACGACGCCATAAAAAGCTGTAGGCCAAAGTCACAGCAGTAAAACGAACAATAAACTACCGACAGACATACACACGAAACATTATCACGTAATAAGAAGCGATGGCAATACTCTAAATAATTTACGACATACTATTGCCCGGCCTTGTCATACACAATGTTGCATCGATTCAATTCTTTGTAGATCAGACGATTCGCATTTAGTCAATAGACCAATAGACAATTTCATCTTTTATTACTTTGCGAATTACATATTACGAATCGGGCGAAGTCGTTGCTATGTAAGTAGAATGGCTGGTTGGTTTTTGCGAGCTCTGAGAATAACTGGTTAGAATACACTGTCCAAGTAAAATGTTCTTAAGATCTCCATTATCTCTCGGATCTCGGATTATTATGAAATATTGTATGTCTCGTCGTGTCGCTACTTCTCCTAAGTCTTGCATTTAACGGGACACCTGTAAATGTGTTTGTACCTTGAACGAGTACGTATATCGCATACAGTGTTGATACGACGGCACTATTACTCAGGAACGCTGTTAGAATATGTTTTTATTAGAAATTATAATTTAAATTTTCGATGACTTACATCAGTCAACACGAATTTTGAGTCAGTGTTCTTTGTACCCGATTTTGATTTCTTATTTCTAATTAATGAAAGAAACAACATTTTATATTTAAAAAAGTTTGCTTTTGTGGCTATCACCATGAAATTTTAAATTTCACAGAAAATAGCTAACTATTTGTCTTTGCATACATACATACATATAACAAGAAAAAGAACATTTATTTATTGAAATTGCTTTTATTTACTTAAGATAATAAAACCAAGTCTAATAAAACAAAACAGAAACTGATTTAGTTTTAAAAAAGATACTTTCATCATTTCTTGTAATTTTTACTTCTTGTAAATTCAGGGGAAAATATCTTCAGAAGTTTGACGCAGAGTCATAATAAATTGTTTCAATACCAACTTTTGAGCAACGGAGATATTAAAATAAGCTTAGGGTCCATAACCAATAAGAATATATCATACTTAATATTATATTTATCTCTCTGGCACTCTGAATGTAGTAGTATGTAATGCTGGTAGTGAAGTAAGCAAAAATAACGTGGAAATTTTGTCTAACCTCATGTGACGCCGACTGCTGACTTCGAATAGGAAGTTAAAATCAACCTTCATAAGCTTAAATAAATCTTTTAAAATAAGATAAGATAAAAACTCTTTAATGCACAAAACAGTAACAAAACAAGTAGAAAAATACAACATTGCACAAAGGGCGGTCTTATCGCTAATGAGCGATTTCTTCCAGACAACCCAATGAGCTGGAAATAATATAAGGTAAGCGAGTAAGGGAGGTTGTGCGGAACACAAGGCAAAAGTTTTCCTGATAATTTAATAAGAAGAAGACGAAACGGGGAAAAAAATAAAATTAAAAGAAAAAACAATACAATAAGAGAAATTTTAATAAATAGGCACACATAAATACTCAGATACTTCACAACGCTACCGAAACCGGTAAGTTCTAATGCAAGATTTATGAAAAATTAAGTTCCTACGACAAAAAGTGCTCCTTAACTAGAGACTTACAACAGTCTAAAGTTTGGGCACGTCTTATCTTTTCGGGCAGGGAATTCCAGAGTTGGATAGCATGTACGGTAAAAGAATGGCTATACGCCTTGGAAAAGTTAGGAGGAGTGAAAAGAAGAAGATTGTTAGATGAACAAAGTATAATCTTCTTATGGAAGGAAGAAAGAAACTGAAAACGTTCTTTGAGGTAAACAGGAGTTTTTGAATTGAACAGTGCTGAGAAAACTAGGGATATTACATGTAGATCTCGGCGACGACGAATGGGAAGCCACTTTAATTTTTGCCTGTAGTAAGAAACATGGTCGTACTTACGCAAACCATATATGAACCTAATGGAAAAATTTTACAGTCGTTCCAGTTTACTAAAAAGATCAAAGGTAAGATAAGGATAACAAACATCTGCATAATCAAGAATTGGTAGAAGAAGGGAAGTTGCAAGAGAAATTTTGGTGGCAGTAGGCAAAAAGTTACGCAAACGCCGCAAAGATCCGGCCGCAGCGAGAGTTCGTCTACTAACCTCAGCAACCTGATGACACCAAGATAGGGTGCTATCAAATTAATATTACCCCTAAATTCCGAACTGTATCAGAAAATGGGATAACAGTTCCATTCAAAGTAACTGATGGCGGTTGTTTAAAGTCCGTCCGTGATATGAAGTAAGGGCTACCAATAATTATGCACTGGGTTTTTGTCGGATTAATTTTTAGTTCAAATGAGTGGCTCCATTCTGTTATAAGTGCTAAGTCAGAATTTAGAATATTAATGGCACTGTTCAAATTTTCTAATCGACCCTGTGTGTAAATCTGGAGATTGTCTGCATACAGATGACAGGTAGAACTTAAGTTAAGAGTAATAGAATTGATGAAGATAGCAAAAAGCAAAGAGATAGCACACCGCCCTGAGGAACACCGTCTGTGAGTGTACACCATTGAGAGAAGGATTCACCAACAACTACACGCTGCCGGCGTCCATGTAGATAACTACGAAACCAGTCAATGACCGCAGGAGATATGTTAAGGGAACACAGCAAACTCAACAGGATTTCAAAGTCCAGACCTTAGCGGAATCACCGATTTTCACGGATTTATGGATATGGCGGCGCTGTGCGTCCCTGCACATTGTATTGCAGCGATTCCTGATTCTATGATATTGATCACGGTTACTATCTGTGGGGTTTCACTTGTATTTAGCCTTACTTTTTACTTTTACTACTGAATAAACTAAATTTTTGGCCCTAAATTTAATAAAATCTCTCCTTACATAAGGCACTGTTAGTGTCCACGGAGTTTTTACTCACTTCGGAAGGCATTTTACCACTCAAGGCTTACAAAATACGTCGTTTCTCTAAAATGTGTGTACACACACTGAGTAACTGCTCTAGTACTTCCTGTTCCAAACCCGATATCTTTCTGCACACCTTTCTTTTGCTTATTAAAAGCAGGAATCCCTCAGCCTTTAACAAAAATCATACATTTTTATTTCTTACTGTAAATAGTACAAAAGAAAACTTTTTTAAATAACAATGATGTTTCTGGTTATTTTTTGCTGTAAACAATCTAATTAAATAACAGGCTCAATTGTTTTTATTCATTTAGTGACTCGTGTTATATTTGGCTTTCATATAAATAAATACAATAATAGGCATATTAATTGAGTAATCATGACTTCGTCTACGTGGAATAATATGTTTTTTATAAAAAGATCATCTCGTTTTCATCATCAGCCTTTTCAACGAGTCCTCACGACTGTCGTGCCTTCTGGAGTACGGAGGAGCTCGAGATAATAAGTTTTGGGTCACCAATCCGATTACCGGCAGTTAGTAGACCGCCTTAATACGCTCTAAGTAGACCGCAGGCGCTAAAAACTTACGCAATCGAGCTCCTCGAATATTAGTCAAGGTACGCCAAATTTGGCAGGTAGGTTAATTAAGAGGCCTAGGGGTGCACTAAGAATTTTTTTTACAATTCAACCCACTTCGGGGCTTTAAATAGGGGAAGAAAGTTTGTATGAAAAATCTTAATCCTTGAGTTGGCACGAACACTTATCTCAATAAATTATAAAGATTTTAATTTTAGTTTTCCTCAACTACCTCCTAAACGGGGATTAAGAGGGTGCTGAAGTTTTTATATGAATTCTTTTTAACGTGCACTTCATTTAATTCGAAACTCAGTATTTATAGTTGAGATACTACTAATATTATGAATGTGAAAGTTTTTATGTTTGTTACTCAATCACGCAAAACGGAACTGAACGGATTTATACGAAATTGGAATGAGACATAGGATACCTTTTATCCTGAAAACTTTTGAATTTTTGAGGGATTCTCAAAAAACTAAAGTTACGTAGAAAAAGTCGCGGGCAGCCATTAGTCCAGGTAATAAATTTACGAGTGTGCATAATTTCAACCAAATCCGTTCAGCCGTTTTTATGTGATTGAGTAACAAACATATAAACTTTCACATTTATATTATTAGTAGGAAAGTAGGATAAAGTAGAAAGTATAATTTTATATTTACCCACATTTATTTGCATATATAAAGATAGTCCATTATTATGTTGTCTTAAATAAAAACTTGCAGTTCACTCACCTTACATTCTCCTTGGACGCAGATGGCCCTGTACCCCGGTCTTGTGCACGGCGTGCCGTCAGCGACCAGCGCCAGCGACGCGTAGAACTGCTGCCCCAACGGACGACAGTTCAACGTGCAAGGCGAATCTCCTGGTAGCGGACAAATAACACGTTACATACCTACAAGAATTGAAGAACATGGCCTGCACAGACGAGGGACTTTATTCTGCGGACTTTTTTGTCCGCCAAAGTAGATCGCTTACAACCATATCAATTAACGCACATGAGGAATAAAATGTTCTGCGTTCAAAAAGTCCCTCAAACAACCGAGGACACTGAGATCGGACGGGACAAAAGCACGCGGGAGTCCTCGAATAAAATTGAACTCGTGTGACTAGGCGTAGCAACAAACGTGAGTCCGCGTTGCGCGCTTCATCCGATTTAAAGATATGCACCCAGTACATTCGTTTAACACTTCTCTTTTTCTTCATGTTAATAACAATACAACGTTATCTAAGTATTTATGTCCATTGCGTGCGCTTCTCTAAATTTTGGTGCGTGACAAGTCCTCATTGCAGCTCATTTTTTTAAGATTCAGTGCCATTATACTTTATGCTTGATCCTTGATAAAATAGAATAATTGTAGTATCGACTTGTTAATCCTTCACAATTGTTCTCTAACACTAAGCAATTATCATTACTTACCTACGGGTATTATTATATTATGATACATACGACTATTGAATCACGACTCGTTAACAGTAATCAATTCAACGTTATTAGTTATTTATGATACAAGTGCGGTAAGTTGATTATTACAAACGAGTTGGCAAGTGTAAGCGCAAGACGAAGTAAAGGGCCTATCATAGTCACATGTTTGTAACCGCTCGAATATCATACAACGTTTTTTAACACATTTGCAAGAAAACAGTCCCACATCAATCCTTTTATTACCCATCAATCCCCACCATCACCCACCAATCTCTTATTATCACCCACCAATTCCCTTATCACCCTCTAATCGCTTTCACCCTCCAATCCTCCTTTTCGACCTCGAATGCCTTTTCACCCTAGAATTTCCATTACACCCTCCAATCCCCTCTTCACCCTCCAATCCTCTTTTCACCCTTCAATCCCCTTTTCACCTACCAATCCTCCCTATCACACACCAATCCCCTATTATCACCTATTAATCCCCATTATCACCCAACAATCCCTTACTATCACCCACCAATCCCCTTATCACCCTCGAATCCCTTTTACCCTCCAATCCTCTTTTCATCCTCGAATCCGGTCCGCGCAGGTAACCGCGGACCGGTTCCTATAAGCGCTGGTAGGCTACTAGCTTTATTTCTGTATACGACCTATGACGGGATTAGAACCCGCATCTTCCGCTATCGATTTCCGTCTGAACCTAAACCGAGTGGATTTTTTTATGTTATCTTAACTTAAATAGATTTCGCAGAGTACAGTACATGGGTTATTTATGTTTATGCAGAATATTAATTTGATAATTGTATGCAGAAGCGAAATATGTTTGCTGTAGCAATTTGGAATTTCACTAGACGACGCGACGACGTCAGGTTATATGAGGTAGACATAACCTTGTTACTTATTCATACAATGTATTTGGTAATTGAATTATAACTGCATAATCTAAACTTTTGTTAGCAAAGCTCAATTGGTTTAGTAAATATGAAATGTTACATTATTGCATAAAAAATATATTTTTTTACAGCTATCGCTGTTCAACACCGTAGCTTATAGACGGTTTTAAGTGAAAGAGAGGTAGGGCACAACGGATTTCGGCTCGAAATGAAGCGCCTGTCTGGGGAAGCAATCTCCACCTTACAGAAAGCACAGTAAAATAACACTACCAGATGCACCAGCACTATGGTGTTGTGTTTCCGCTGGTCAGTGAAAGGTTCCAGGATTCCACGGGGTAAGGGATTGGGTTCAGGTCCGTAAGATGAGAATGGCTGCAACACACTTTCTTCACGACTGGACTCCACTTACACTCTGCCCCATCCACCAGGTGGGGTGACCTGGTGGATGGGGTAATTTGTGGCGCGTCGTATAAAAAACCATACCAGAGTATCACTTGCGTAACACCTACTCTGATATTATCTCCTAATCTGTAGAATCGTGGAACTTTACTCACCAACAAAAACACTATAAGTAGCAACAAAATGTATGCAGTGTTTTTTCATTGTGGGCTATGTAAGGACTATTATGTTTTCTGTGGTAGAAATAAAAAGCAAGTGAAGATGGGAAGATAGCTGGTGTAAAGGTACGAAATTGCCGCATCAACCACGATCATCTAGAATGGTAAATACTTCTCCACTAATTATAAAAACAATAACATGTTGTGTAAAATGCTCACCATCAATATATGGTGTCCAAGTGTAGAACCGCCCTCTGAACGGTCTACGGTCGTAGATTGCGCACTGCTCGGCACGCATATCTTTTTCGCCATCTGGACACGGCTGAAATCAAAAGATAAAGTCAACAATCCAAACAAGAATTCCATCATCATCAGCCTATTAATGTCTACCCTGGACTTTTGTAGGGATAGAACAGGAAAGACAGGGCGTGATCCCCTAAAAGGCATTGCATATTGCTAACGTCTGCATGTAGAGACCCAAGCAGGAATTTTGATAGCTCGGTAATGGTATATTAAGTCGTGATCATCGTCCAAGTTTCTAAAAAACTAATGCCTCCTCTACACGTCGACAGATGCACCACCAGATGAATCACCACGAGCCGATCACAGGTCTGGTGAACTTTGTGGGTGATTCAGTCTGTGTTCATTCTCGAGAGACGCAACTCGTACGCACGCAATATTTAAAAAAAAATAGGGATCGTAGCTGCCACTGCTATTTATTTATTTATTGCTTTTAACTACTACTACACACAATCCAGAGGTTTCGTACCCCCCCCCCTCTCTTTCTCTAAAAGCTAAACTATTGGCTTAGAATCCTTACCTTAGAAGAAAACATTAAAAGTGACTTAAACGAAGTAATTACTTAAAATAGAGACTCTTTCCAAAATATAATGTCGTGGCGACGAGCGACTACGGAACCCTACACTGCGCGTGGCATGACACGCACTTAGGCCGATTTTTTATGACATATGTCAGTAACATAATAATGTCAATTTGGTGAAATGGAGTCCGGTCCCCTTGCCAGAAGAAGCACCACAATTTCAATCATTTTCAATCATATCACGTTTTTTATAGTGTCTAACTGTCAAATTCCATAGTAATTTGACAATTGAGCGTGGCATAAACGCGTTATATAACATATCGCGGTGCTCATGCTAGGGGGCTGGTCGAATCATCGGGATAAAGAAGGCATGAAAACCTTTATTTAAGTGCGAATAGTTTACGACCTCCGTGGCCGAGTGGTTTGTACGCCGCGTTTCATGGTGTCACCGACTCGAGAGGTCCCGGGTTCGAATCCCGGTGGGGGCAGATGTTTGTGTGATGATTACGAGCATTTGTACTCCAGTCATGGATGTTTAATACGTATTTCTATATAAATATACTTATATATGTACAGTATATGTATTCTATCCGTTACCCTAGCATCCCATAACACATGCCTTACAGTGCTTACTTTGGGGCTACGCTAATTGGTGTAAGTGTTTGAAATATTTATTTATTTATTTATATACTATATCTATAATGCAAAACCGTTTATAAAAAGTTTATACATATAAATAAATTAATGTAAAGGCTGGGTCGATTTTTCTCTAGTTTATTTTCTTAACCCTAATTAATTTATAATCGAATCTTCATAATGATAATGTTAACCATACATTTTTCTGTTTAACCTCCCTTAGAATTAGGTATAGGACAGTCAATATTAAAATCTCTACGAAAATTTCTCCCTTGTAAAGGCACTATAAATTATCCATAATGCATTATACTAATCCCAAGCTAAATAAGAATCATGTCGTATAAAAGCTTAAGTTAAATATAACATGAAACATAAATAAAGACATGCCACATTTATTTATTGCAACATGATTATCACAGAAATCCTCGCAAAATCCATAATTTTACATGAACAAAGCTAATCATGGAAATATTTATAGGGTGGATGTGTAAATGATGACTGTTTATGGTGTTGGCTTAAGTTCTAAGCACTATACTGGAACTGAATGGAGCCCATGATGCTTTTTGAGAATATACTCCACAATTTTTTTTATTATCAAGGTAACTTATCTTAGTTAGAAATAAGGAAAAAATTGATTTAATTAAACTATTATTAGTTTTAGTAAATTAGTGTTTACTTCATTGATGTTCGAGTTAGGTATATAAAGAAAAGGTATAGTATTACAAAAAATATTAATTCATAAGAAATACATTTAAGTAACAAAAAACTTAAAACTACTTAATTTTTAAAACTTACAATCCAAATAACCACAACCTCCTGAACTACTTAAATAATATCATCATCATCCTATTAATGTCCCCACTGCTGCGGCACAGGCCTTCCCTATGGATGGAAAAGGGAGTTTGGGCCATGACCCACCAGTGCGGCTAGTGCGAGTGCTTATAACGGTTAAAATACTGCAGATAAAGCCGAGACCAACGGCTTAACGTGCCTTCCGAGGCACGGAAGAGCCCGAGATAGTAAATTTTTGGTGGTCACCCATACGACCACTGCGAAAACTGCTTAACTTCAACGATCGCAACCAAACGCGCTTACCACTTGAGCCATCGAGCTCCTCCTCCTCTTCCTCTTAAAATAATATATAATTTACAAAATAAAAATATGTTACTCCCAGCGTCGCGCGCCGCTAAGAATGATGCCCAAAGGGCTGGCCGCATTGCCACGTTGGATGGCAAGGCTGATCTGTTGACCATGATAGCTGCCACCTTTTTGACCATCAGTAACCTCGGTGAGCATCTTTTACAGTTCCTTAAAAAGGAAACGAGCGCTTGGGCTCCATGGGCCCATAGTGTCAACATCAAATGGCCCAAATATGCCGCCATTTGAAGCACTCGGCAGAGGTCGCTGTCGCGCCTGCAGCTATGGAGATACGACCTGTATGGCACGAAGCAAGCGTATCCACGCAAGTTGCGTCCCATACAAGAGGCCGACCCTGCTTCCAAGGAATAAGCGCCATACCATCACATCTCTTGCCATCGTCGCGATAGATTCCGTCAGGCACAAAGACCGCCGCTGAGATGCTGTCCCACGATGTGTGCTGTCGCGGGCGAAGACGCGCCGCGAGGGGTTACCAAACGTATGAGAACTCTAACGTTTGAGATTTAGCAGTCTCTATATAGACCAGGGTCGATAATTTTAAAAATGGTGAAAAGTGAAAAAAAAATATAGTAGGATGAAACCCATTAGAAAAGGTAGAGAATATAACAAAAATGAAAGGAAAAATAAATTACGGGCGATCTGAGGTCGGGAAGGGGGAGGGGGGGGGGGGGGTTTAAGGGTAAAAAATGGTTAATCTCGATTTCCGGTAAAACTGCAAGTCCTATGAAAAAAAGTTAAATGGCAAAGTTGTAGGTAATAAAAAGATCTACAACTTTTGTATCGACACTTTTTTCACATAACCTCAAAATTTATGTGAAAAATGCGAATAACCGAGTTTTTGGTTTTTGATTTTTATTTTTTGCAAAAAAAATATTTTTTCACGAAATTTGGTGAAAACTTACCTTTGTATGTCCCAAATATATAATAATTTTTTTGATTTAAAATATTCATTTTTTCACCTTATTTTGACTTAATATCGAAAAAGCACCCTTATTTTTAATCGAAAATTCTCACGTCAAAATATCTGTTTTTAAAAAAGTTGGGGTATTTTATGTTTGTTGAAATCTCTACTTTCTGATGGTATAAAAAAAATATACACTACTATGATAGATTTTTAATACCTACTTACAACAACTATTTTTGCATGTTTTATACATGCAAAAATAGTTGTTGTAAGTAGGTATTAAAAATAGGATTTTCTGATTCGAGTTTTTTTCATTATTAATTTGCATTTTCTGAGAACATTTACCATAGTAGTGTATATTTTTTTATACCATCAGAAAGTAGAGCTTTCAACAAACAAAAAACACCCCGACTTTTTTAAAAAAGCAGATATTTTGACGTGAGAATTTTCGATTGAAAATAAGGGTGCTTTTTCGATATTAAGTCAAAATAAGGTGAAAAAATGAATATTTTAAATGAAAAAAATTACTGTATATTTGGGACATACAAAGGTAAGTTTTCACCAAATTTCGTGAAAAAATAAGAATCGAGATTAACCATTTTTACCCTTAAAACCTCCCCCCCTCCCCCTTCCCGACCTCAGATCGCCCGTAATTTATTTTTCCTTTCATTTTTGTTATATTCTCTAACTTTTCTAATGGGTTTTTCATTTTCATCTATTTTCATATTTCATTTCATCCTACTATAATTTTTTTTGGTCTCAAAAATTATCGACCCTGGTCTAATACTGCTAAGTAGTAAATAATAATCCGGTGCACTTTGTGATGGCATAATCAAAGCATATTGAAGCTGTACTTACTGAGTCGATCCTTTGTGGACTGAACATCTATTTACTTTCTGATGATATTTTTGGTTTGTGTACATGAGCCCGGAACAGATCTCTGCCAGGACTTCCGCTCCATGCTCCCGCTTAACGCAGCGCAGGCTCAGTAAAAGTGAGAATTTATATTTTAATAACCGCACATTTAATAATAAATAAGTTTTAAATGTTTGAGGTACATGACACAAACAGTCAACATTGTTCAAATCTCATAACAAAGTGTACGAGATTTCTATTTACCTCGTTCTATTACCCTGCGCGTCCTCACTCGCGACAACACACATCGTGGGACATTACCATTACATTGACAGCGACAAGAATTCTGCGAATGGCGTCATTGATGCAGGCGTGGCGGGAGACACAGCCAACGCTCATTTGGCTTAAGAGGCCCAAATCACCGACGCGAGTACCGCAACGACAGCGATGGGGATGATTTGGCTTGATGCCAAGTCTAAGCGACATCGCGCAAGCAGAGGCGAGCACGCTCAGTGGCGCTTTCAGAGGATGCTTAAAGATCACACAAAGCGGCTCGTCCCACTGCCCATGGGTAGTTAAAAGATGGTGGCGGTTCTATTCCCGGGTATGCCGTAGACTATGCGCTTCTGGCCTCTACAAGGTCAGCCAACTCCACTACGCGCAAAGAAAGGCATAATATTTTATTAAAGAGCTCGGCTATACCATATGCTGAAGACAGAAAGGCGGGAAGTGTAATGTGAAAAATATAGCGAGTACCTAGTACTTACCTCCGAAACGAACAGGAAGAGCTGACCGAAGTGATAATTAGCTAAGTACATAACATGTTGTGGCAATATCGGCATACAAATTAATTATTATTTATATTCATTATTATTATTCTAAGATTCAAATTACAAAAATGAAAAGGTCAATAATGTCAATACAATAAAAAATGTCAATAAATTGGGCA